CAGCTGTAATTAATCACACATCAGATTAACACCACTATTTATTTTTTTTTTTTTTTGGTTCACTCTAAACCAAACAACTATTCAATTGAAGTGAATTGAACTTAAAAAACAAGCAACCAGGCAAAAAGATACGGAAAAAACTTTCAGTTTTTATAATTATTTTTCAACTCAATTTGTAAAAATTGAAAAGCTTTTTTCTTCTTGTTGATCACATCAAATTTTGTATTAAAGTTTAAATAAAGTATATGCCCTTCCCTCCTTCTCCTCCTTTTAAAAAAAAAAAGTATGCCAGTGTAATTGTCGACGTTAAATTGACTACGAAAAAACCCTGCCAACTTTAACAACTTGACATATTAAGAAGAAATGGAAGAAGATGAGTGAAAAAATACATAACTACTGCAGCAAAAAAATAAAATTTTTTTTTTTTTGTTAAATATACCTGACAACAAAGATAACAAAACAAGCGTTAGAATATTTGGCATCTTTGGTATTATAGCGGACCAATTTAGCAAATTCTAATGTAACATCGGATACGTCATGCGACAGCAATACCAATGTACCAACACGAACAAAGTTGATCAGCCAACTAATTGACAGTAAACCGATAGTGACAAAATGATGGAATACCATCTGGAAAAAATCGGATCGTCGAACATCAAAACTTGATGCAATTAATAGCGAATAATAGAATCCAGTTTCAACCATATAATACCACCTTAAAAAAACAACTAAATGCTTAATTTAGAAACAAGACTGGCAAGAACAATAAAGATAGCGAAAACGGTAATAAAAATATTAGTAGTAACATTAGTTTGAGCTGTTTTTTCTCAGTTATCCTGATAAATAGATGAAATTTAAAGATTACAGTTACAGTTCGTCTGACAGTTACCAATGTTTTAATATTCCGTTTCCTTTTTTCGACAAATGTTTACTTTTTTTTCATTTGTCACTTTTTTCTTTTTCCTTTTTTTGCCCCTATTAGCTGTCTGAACCAAAACAATTGAAAATAGTTAAATTTTTTTAGAAAAAATTTCTTTTTTGCTGCTTTCAAACTTCGCCTGTAAAATTTCTTTTTTTTTTTTTTTGACAAATACTGCAAAAATTGTAGAGCAGATTATTTTTCTTAAACTTAAAAACTAAACTGAGGATTGCAAAATGTTTTTTTTCATTAACAATAAATCCATTCAAAAATAAAACGTTTTTCACCACGAAAAAAAGTTATTTTTGCAAATATTTGCTGAAAATTATTATATTAATTTCTATTCCTTTTAGTTTACTTCTGTTCACTATACTGAGGATTTATTTTGGAAACATTTCTAACACTGATATACTTCAAAGCAAAGTCATTTTTTGACAGTCAGATAATATTTGTTGATCTTCGATGACTGATGAAAGACACCAAAAAAAGTGTATGATACTTTTTTATTCTGTTTCTGACAACTGCTCCTTCAGTGTTTTTTTTTTCTTCCTTCTTGTTGGAAGTTTATTTTCTGTTCTAATCCGACAGTCTTTTGGTTTATTCGCCGATTAATACCAACAGCAACAAACAAAATCGATGATTATTAAACTTACTAAACAAAAAAAATAAGCTAGATTAAACTTTGAGTACCAATTAAAAATGGACAAAAAGAAAGACTAAAAAATTTTAACCAAACTTTTTTGTCCTTTATTCTCAGTTTTATAAGATCTAATTCTTTTTTTTTTTTGCCCAATTATCTTGGTAAGTTGTCATTTAAGAACAAAAATTTAAAAATTAGTTTCAAGTAACTCTCCATTCTTTTAAAATCCTAATTAAATAAGTTTTAAAAGCTCTTGACCAGTGTCTGCAAAATTCTTAGAAGTTTCATCTAACAGAAACAGTTAAACTCCATTGTCATGAAGTGTTCAACAGCAACAACGTTCATCTTATTCCCCCCCCTTCCTTTAACCATTTTACCAAACCTCAACATCATTCTCCCCCCTCTATTAAAAGAGATATTACCAAATACCACAAAACTATGTCAACAGTGAAATAAAAAGAATTGTTGTATCAAACTAGCAAATAAAAATGAATAATTTAAAATTTTTCTCCCCCATGTCGTGTTTCCTTGTCATAGGAAGCAAACCTTTCGTCGTAACCGCTAAAAAAAGGTCATTAGTTTCACTGTTGGCTGCAACAACAGTTTCTTGCCCGCGAAAAGATCAAA